TATTCTCAAATCATATTTTTATGTCTTGTGATAGATAATGTATCAATTATTATTTATTTTTTAATAGAAGTTAGTTCTAAAAGTAATTGGAAAAAAAATTAAAACATGGGTTATGATTGAGACCCTCTCCAATCACCTCCCCACCACCACCCCCCCCACACACATATGCACGTGGCAGGTGGTGATTGGAGGAGAAGGAAAAAAAAAAAGAAATAAAGAAAATCTGACCAATCAGAAAGAGAGGGGGTCAAGGGGGTAGGGGGAAAAGGGGGTCCGAGTCATTATTGTTAAAACATGAAGGGACAAAATTCAAAATTTAAAATTAAAAAAAAATAAAAAATTCAAGAGTCAAAGTAAAAAAATAGCAAAATTTGAGGGGGCAAAATGTAGGCTGTGTTTGGTTGTATTTTGTAATATATTTCCACCCCTTTATTTGTGTTTGACGTTTGTTTATGGTTTTTAAAAGTTAATTCCACATTCAATTTTGAAAACTCTATTTAAGACGGAAAAATTTGAGCTAACTGGTCATCCCACCAGTCGTCCGGCCAGTTGACCGGAACAGTAAATTATTTTTTTTTGGGCATTTGTTAATTTTTATATATTCAATAAAAAATATTTTCTGAATTTTTTAAAAATTTTATAAGTTTTAAATAGAATTTTAAGTTGTGTATTTGGTTATGAGTTATAAGTTTTTGTATCAAATATCATATGTCACATTAAAAATTTCCTACTCAATTCAAAATTCATTCACTAAACAAATTTTCCACAATGAAATCATAATTTCAAAACTTACAAACTCAAAATACAACTCTTATTCTTAAATCATATTTAAAAAACTCCACTAAATACCACCATAATTTACCTATTTTTTTAAGGATAATTCTACTTGCACCATCCTTCTATCACATTAGAGCATCTCCAATGCACTAGGCATATCATACTTGTTAGTTAAAATGCCTAGTGTGATTCACTTTTTTCAATTCCAACGCACTAGGCATATGATTAGGCATTTTGGCTCAACTCATATTCACTAGCTACATGTAGCTAGCCTTCAACGCTAGGCAAAATGTATTCAATCATTAGGATCATTTCCCTCCATCTTTGTTGTTGACGTGGCATTCTATAAAATTAATAGTATTTGGATTAATAGCAAAAATAAAGAGTATGGTTGGAGTAAAAACATAAAACAGTTGATAGGCAAAATAAAATATATACTTTATAGTAATATTTAGATAGGTAAAATGTCTACTACCGTTGGAGATGCTCTTACATATATAATTTACTTATTTTTTATTACAATCTTGTTCTTATTTAAAATTACCAAAAAATCGCTCAAACCCAAACCCTAACCTTTAATTTCTAACCCTCCCAAGGTTTTCACCACCATTGTCATTGCCGTCGTCGTCGGAAACCCACCTTCAATCTCCAGTGACTTCACCACCTTCGGCCACTAACCTTTAACCCACTCTCCTCTACCAGCGACTCTTTCTTCCACGAACGACCTTTCACCTTCACCTAATGGGAGCTCAGCCCGCAATTGCGACCCAATCCTACCACTATCATGACCCAGTTTCGTCCCCCATCTCTACCATCGACACTTTGCTCCACCTTTCATCACCCCAGCACGACCGGAGCCTTTCTGATTGCTCTCTTCAATCGCTGACAAAGCACGAAAGAGAGCACCACAACCTATCGCAAACATCCTAGCCACCTACTCTCGTCATCACGACCCAACTATTACCTTCTTCCATTACCAACATATCAAGGGGGAGAAAGAAAGAGAACCCAAAACTCGAAAATAAGAAGAAGAAGAAGAAGAAGAAAAAGAAGAAGAAGAAGAAAAAAAAAAGAAGAAAAAGAGAGGGAAGGTGAAGAGGGGTCATAGTGGTCGAAAGTTGTAGGGGTTGATCGCTGGTATAGAAGGTGTTGGCTGTCGGAGGTGGCGGTCAGAGTGGTACTAGAGGTAGTGATTGGGAGTGAGGAAGGGTTTGGGTTTGAGAAGATAAGGGCAAGTTGGGTATTATTGTAAATGTAATAAGAAGAAAGTAAAATTATAAATGGTAAAAATTTCCCCTTTTAAAGCAAACTTCAGTAACTTGATTCAATTTGACTGTCAGTACCAATTGCCTTGCGGCCAACAAGTTTAAACATTGGAAACTATATGGTTCGGCCCAAACTCGAGATTCTAGTAGGCCCATGTTCATGGTCGAAGACACTAGCAACGATATTGATGTACACCGCCCCTGACCCAATTGTATTTATTTAATATATTTTTATGTACTATATAATATCTAATTTGTTTTTTTGATATAATAAAATTTATATTTATTTATCATCTAAGTATCTTTTAAATCTTATTAATCATAAATAATTATCAATAATATATTATACTATTTCTAATATTTTTTTAATATCTTTATTTTTAAAGTTACAAATGGGACACTACAAACCCGTTTGGTTGGCATTCTTATCTTCAATCTTTCGCTACTATGCTATTTGGTGACTTCGAAACATGATTTAGGGGTTGTTTAGGATGACTTAAATAAGTGTATTTTTTGTCTTTTTACAAAAAAATATGTAGAAAAGTAGAGAGATGATGTGATGAAAAAAAGATAAAAAGATAAAAAGATAGATTATTTGAAACTTCCAAACTTAGCCTTAGTATCAAGTGCGTCACAAATTAAATGTGATTTACATATATAGTGGAACTTATCCCTCTATGTTGCTTCTTTTCTTTTATCTAACATTTTGGCCCAGTTTATTTTCAGTGGTAGAATGGAAGAGATTGATAGTGAGGGGATTAAATAAAATTGTATTTGTTTTGATGATAGTTGTTAGTGTAGGGATTGTTAAATTATTTTTTTATATAAAATAAATATAAAATAATATAACAAATAAAAAAATACAAAAACATTAATGTTTTAAAAAAAAATGCCCAACATGTAAAAAATTTTAAAAAAATAAAAATAAAACAAAAAGTTTCCAGAAAAAAATAAAACAAATAAAATAATGATTTTTACTTAACAAAAAAATACAAAAAATTAAATATTAATGTTAAAAAAAAAATGCCCAACATATAAAAAAAAAAAAATTTCTAGTCTCCCGGACTATTTTTTTAATACCAAGTCTTGAAAACTCATCCGAATCCCCTTGGGGAGGCCCATCATAATTCGGAACTCACTATCAATTCCCTTCCTATCTCTCAAAACAAACACAATATTAGTGAGTCTCACCTCACTACCAATCTCAATCCCTCTTCTAACTCTATAAATAAACGGGGCCTTTAAGTTGATGTTTGGAAAGACGACATGGAGAGATACAATTGGTAATTGGTGTGTGGTATAGTCATGTGAAGCCCTAAATAATTTTCCACCAAGTTTAGAGCCGCCAATGTTCCCAACTTGGGCCATTGGGCTTAGACGATGGACCCATGGTGTGTGGCATACGTTTCACCAAGAATTCAAAAAACAAAATACACTTAGTATTGGGAAAATTACAAATCAGTGGTGTTAGAAAAATAATTATAAAATCATTGAAAAGATTTAATATCGATAAATGTTTTCAATAATATATAATTATTTTTTTAAAAATGACTTGATTTTGAATTTCTCCTTTAGTATTTACGATTCTTTATCTCAAAGTTAGTATTTCCTCCGTCTTAAAATATTAATTCCTTTTTAAAAATCAATGACTAAATAATATGAATTTCTTATTTTGCTATTATTTTAAATTCATTAACATTAATATTTTTGAAATGTAATAATTGTATTACCGATGAGTAATTTTAAAAAGTTAATATTTTTAAAGTATAATAAGTGTACTATAAAAAAAAAGTTAAATTCCTCAAAAGAAATTAATATTTTTGGACAGAAGAAGTGCAAATTACTCATTTGTCCCATAATTAGATGCTACACCAAAAAAACAAAAAAGAAAAAAAGAAATTGTTGTTGTATTACCTCTATTTATCATGACATGAATGTCGAGACAAATAAGATGCACAGTTTAATCATGCATGAAGATAATCGAGAGGGTAAAATAATAACTCTGATATTATGAAAGAAATTCAAACACTAAATCCAAAATAAATTGGTAGTAGGTTGAGAAATCTGTAGGCTATATAAACTATGTATGAGTAGGGCTGCAAATTGATAGAACTGTTCGTGAACAGGTTCAGGCTCGGCTCAGTAAAAGCTTGTTCGAACTCAGTTAGTTAATTTTTTTTTGTGTTTGAGCTCGAGTTCGTTAACTTTTTAATAAATAAGCCCAAACATTCTAAAATTCGACTTGTCAGCTGGCTCGTTTAATATTTATTATTTATATATATTAAATAATATAAAAATATGTATAAAAAAATAAAATAAATATGTTATATATATATTTAAAAATATAAATGTAAATAATAGTTAACTGTAGATAGTACATCTATATGATAGTGGTAGTAGATATTATTATTTTGGTAAAGTATTAACTTTTTTTATTTATTTATAATGTTTATATATTGTGTGTATAATTATATAATCAAAAATTTAATTACAACTTTAGTTTTATACACAAGTATAAATTTATAAATTTTTTGACTCGTTAAGATTCGTGAACAGGCTCGAGCTTGAGTCAAGCAAAAGCCAACTCGGCTTGAGCTCGGTTTGTTAAATTTTTATTGAGCTCAAGCTTGAGTTCGAGTTCGTTAAAATTTTAATAAATAAGTCTAAACATATTAAAACTCAGCTCGACTTGACTCAGTTCGTTTATAGCCCTATGTATGAGTGATTTAGAGATACAATGTGAGAAAAAATTATTTTTAAAAATAATTAGATTCCATTTTCATGTTATGAGCCGAACTGATAAAAAAAAAAAAAGAAAAGAAAAAAAGAGGAAGAAGAAGAAAAAAAAAGACCATAAGGAGACACATTCATAAAAATAAATTTTTTGTTTCACTTTATAAGAAAGTCACAAGTATAATTAAGAATAATAAATAATAAAAAAAAAAACACATGAAGAAGTAACCAATCACACCCCTCCAATTTTATAACTTGATAAACCCCTCAATATAATCATAATTTTGAAATACAAAATGACAAGAATAACCCAAACTTAGAACAACGAGCATACACAATCAAAACAAATAACAAAATGAGACTTTTGATAGTCCCCTCTCCCTTCACTCACTCTTACTCTTCTTTTCATTCTCTCTCCTTCAGTTTTTCTATCTCTCTCTTCTCTCTCTTCAAAACTATATATTTATCATCAATCCAACAAGTTTACGAACGAAACTGTTCAGTATTATTTTATGCAATTAATTTTTTATCCATGGACTTCTTAATATATATATATATATATCAACCCCACCATTGGTGCACAGCAACACCCTCATCCCTTAACCTTCCATACAAAGCCAAGCATTCCCAATATGCCCTTCTACTACTTTTGCTCTTCCCACTAAGTCCTTGATGCTTACACTCCAAGAAAAGCTCATCCACCAACCCTAAAACCTTATTTTTTACCATCTCCTCCACTGTTTCAGCCTCAGCCTTCATCACTACATACTCCTCTTCCCGCACATTCTTCTTTAACCAATCCGACATCCCCATTTGGGGCAACGACAACTCCTTTCCAGAGGATGATGACGATGATGAATCTTCCGGTACAGTCTCAATCTTGTACATCTCAAAATCCTTGTTCCTCGTTGGATAATGCTTCGCAAACCATCCTGCATCACCAGCAGCTCCATCCTTTTCTGGCAAGCCCACATCGATGAAAACATGACGTGGGTAGCTTTCAAGTGAATCGCCCAATAAGTCCGGTAGGTACCTTGTTCGTTTAAGGTACGTTTTAGATTTACCAGAAGCCGCTCTCGGTGGTTCGAGGAGTACATCCTCGAGGTTATTAAGGGCTGCCTTCTTTGCCTCTGATGTGAGACCGCATAACTTCCTTTTCTTAGGTGAGTTTGTATGGGGATAGCTGATTTTTCGCATGGCAACAATGGTGGAGTCAAATCGGCGCAAGTAGACAATTTTATAGTTGGATGGCTTGTGAAATCCCAACGAAGGGTCCTCACTGAGTTGGATCGTGGCAATACCTCCTACCTTGAGAGTCCTGTCAATGAATTCTTCAATTGCATGAAAGCCATGCGTGAAAGCAAAGTCGAAAGTCTCGTCTGGGATCGAGCTTTGTCGCTCTGAGTCTGAATATGAGATCAAATCCATTTCATTTTGGCTAATAATTTGAGAATTGTAAATGGCTTCGTCGTTGCCACTGCCAACTAACAAGGCTCTACCACCCACTTTCAAAAGGCCTTCGTTTGCCAAATCGTGAAAGACTAAGGGCAACAGCTCTAGATTAATCGAATCAAATGCAGCTTGATCTGCCTCAGAATTAGTTCCGTAAGAATTTAAAGACAATTTTCCAAGTATCGAGCTAAACCATGGCAATGCAACAATTACCAATGCCAAAAGAATGGTCCTTGTCATCAGTTTCAAAACCCAAGAATGAGGCAATCGAATTATCAAGAAATGCGTATAAGTATTCATATCAATGTCATCTTTATATTGGTTATTGACTTTGTTGTGGTGTTTAGTTCGAAACCCATGAATCAAATCCATGGCTATAAATCTCATGTTGATGGGAAAAGTGCAAAATGGGGAAAAAAAAAATGAGCAAGCAAAGAAAAAGTATCACAAACTATATTAGAGAGTATTGAAAGAGATCCTAGAAAAAAGAAGAATAGAATGTTAATTGCAAGAGCTAGCGTGAGAGAGGGAGGTGGGAGTGGCAGCGAAAGGGGAATGAATTATTAGCGAGTGCAAAACCTGGATGCGGTGTGATTCCCACCCACAAGGGCAACACGATTACTTTGCAATCTTGACCATAAAAACATCAGTTGGTTCATCCTTTGCGCCTCCATCTCGAAACTCCCTTTAAGTTACCCAGTTCGATGAATTTATTTCGCAATGACAATTTTCGTTGAGTTTCCTAATTAGCGATACATTAGAAAAAGCCCCATCAACGTTGTCATCATCGACCTGGGAAAGGAAGTTGGAGAGAGGTGTTTCTTCTTCTTTTTTTGGTTTTTTTGGGGTATGATTTTTTTTTCTTCTAAGCAATCTAAATTATATTGGAGAGGGGTGTGGATGTGAATGAAGAGAGAGGATTTACGGAGGAGAGGGTATAGAAGAGATGCAGTTAAAAAAAGAAAGAGAAACGTATGGTTGGTCCTCCGAGAAGTTCTCTCAGCGTTTGTTTTTCAATAATACGCGTATTTGAATTATATATATATATATATATATGTTGACTCTAGTAATATTGAATTATTATTTTTATTTATCAAACTGTTCAAAATTGATAAATCACCTCTCAATCATCAAATTACGTAAAAAATTTAAATATAAAATTACAAAAGTATTGCGTTTGCATTCACCGTTGAATACGTAAAGAGGTGTGTTGGATTGTTTGCTAGGGTTTGTGGCTTTGTTCTAAGGCCAACTATTCTTATTATTGGTGTGTTTGTTTGGACAGACTGAATAAGGAGAAATTGTAATTTATTAGATTGTAATCCTAAGATTCATAGTCCAGGGATTATTTGGTTAGATAGAATATGTATTTCATGTTTGTTTAGTTATGTGTTTAGATGTTAGGAAATGACTATTTAGTTGGATATGATATGAATCTTATGTTTGTTTGAGATATTATTGAGAATGATAAATGCCCAAATAACTATTTTACCCTTTTCAATTATTTACTAAGTAATAGCAATATTAAACATATCTGTAATATTTTAATTATTTTTAGCTAGATTAAATAAAAATTTAATTTATTTTATTTTTTACACAATTATATAAATTTAATTTTTTTAAATTTAAATAAATAATATCAATAAAAATATATGTTATTTTTTTTAATCAAAATTTTAAATAAATTTATTTAAAAATAATAATAATTAAATAAAACATTTATTAAAATTTAAATAATGAAATTAAATAAAATATAAACAAAATTTTAAAATAAAACATCAATAAAATATCTATAAAAAATTATTTTAAAAAATTAAATAAATAAAACATCAATAAAAATTAAATTAAATTATTTTATTTTTAAATTGAGACATTTAAATTTTATTAACTTTTACTAAATATAATACATAATTAAATAGTAGAGGGTCAAAATGGTCATTTCATCACCTAATCTCATATCCCCTTATCCTCCCATTTGTGTTCCAACCCCCCTCTCCATGGGACACAATAGTCCAACATATTTAGAACTAATAGTCTAGAACAAAAATTTTAAACTAAACAACGGACTATTAGCCTAGATAGACTATTAATCAAATCCTATGGCTCAATCCCTGAAAACAAACATCACCTAAGGGTTTAATAGCTATGGTGTTGTCAACTGTTTGCTAGGGTTATCCTTGGGTTATCCATGCATACCTTGTTGGGTGTTTGGCTATATTATGAGGGTTGAGTTTTGGTGTTGTTAAATAAAGTGTATATACTATATTATTCTTATTTTTACTCAAAATTATCAATTTTATCTAAGAATTTTACCCTTCGATTTCACACAAGGTGCAATGATAAGTTAAGATTTATTATGAATGTGAACCTTTCTATAAAGTTTAATCCTAACCTTCCATTACAAACGATTCCATGCTTCATTAAATTATTTTTGTAAGTAAGGATTTCATTACTAAAAAAGTGTACAACGAATCCGATCACGGTTTGACTTCCTTGGATAGCCTCAATCGTTCAAGTGAAGAAAAAAAATTAATCTAAAGAATAAAGAAACTGTTACTGAACGAGAGCGAGTGAAGTGAGTAAGCCCCAGACAAGGGATTTGGGGATCTTGTTGTGCCTTTGGGTATAGCAGGCTACTGTGCTCCCTTGTGGAGGGTCATTCCGAACCTCTTTTGATAATTTAAATCGTTCATATTATAGAATTTATCGAGTAGATCATCTATGTAAAAAATCAAGTTAATTGGATATTTGCAGCCCTATAACCAAAGCACATTTGTTTTTATAAAAATTAACAGTATAACATAACTTTCATAAATTTTTAAAAGCAATTAAGACCTAATCATGGGTTATGAATATATGATTAACTTGATGTTTTATATGAATAATATTTTTAACGAATAATAATCCGAGTTTATGGATGAGTGTTGCAGTTGCTGTGGATGCTGGCAGATTTACGGGTTGTTTGGATGCTGGTAGTATGCTATTTAGTTTTTTTTGGACCCATTTGTGGAAAACGCTTGTATTTATTTTTGCTGGTTTTGCCTTCCCTTGCGGGCTGTGCAAGGGAAATCTATTTTTTCTCTTGACATGTATATTTCTGTTTAGATCTTTAGTTTCTTCTCAAGCTTTTGGAGACTTCTTTAGTGGGTTGTATAGGGTTCTTTGTTCCCTTTTCTTTAGGCTTCTATATGTTTATAGGTCTGTTTATGGTCCTCGTGTTCTCCATGGGGCCCATGAACATTTCTTTCGGGTGTCTTATTTTGTTCTATATGTTTTGCTCTGTTTATCAGGTGGGCCCATTTCCTTTTGTTGTTTTGGATTGGTGTGCCATGGTGCTGCCCGTTTGTCTTTTGTTTTCTGTTTTCAATGTTGTCTAGCATTTTGTAGGGCCTGGGGTATGCCCCTTGTATTTGTATTCCTTTGTCTTTAATTTATGACTTACTTACCTAAAAATATTTAAAATAAATAAATAAATATTTTTAACGAATTTTACAATATGAACAGTTCAAATCATCGAAAAATACTTGGAACGAATTCCTACAAAAGGGCACAAGAGGCTGCTTGTAGCAAGGAGCTACCAAGGAGTGACTCAGTTGAAGCTTCAAATGTAGAGCTCGCGACGACTTCGATGCAAATGGCTATACCAACTTGTTGCAGCCATGCGGGAGGTCCAAGAGTCAGGAGAATTCCACTAAGGTAGGTGTGAGAGAATTCCACCAAGCTAGGTGTGAGCTCGAAATTCCCAAAATGAAAATATGCAGTATTCTTATACCAAAAGTGGACCAAGGCTTCAATCAAGTCCAATGGGTTAAAAAAAGAGCAAAGATCCTCTAGAGTGATTTTTTTCTAAAGTTTCTTAGAGTGTTACATTGTGTGGTTAAGATTTACTGGCAAATCACATCAATTTTTACCTATGAAGGTAAGCACTTCTATGCAAAGAAAATATGCTAACATTATGTGAAAACTTTTAATTTTAGATATTTACTTTTTCCATCACCTTTTCAAGAATTTCTTTTCATTTTGCAAATATTTGCTTAACAACAATTATTCTATTCTAAATTGTAAGGGTAAAATTTTTTGCCACGACATGATATGAAGTTAGCAGAGAGGGTTAACTATTTCCTAACATGAATACGTAGTGGTAGAGTCAAGAAACTAAATTAGAAGGGGCACTTATTAATTATAACTTTAATTTTTTTTTCCATAACCAACAATAAGAAGATAATAATAATTTTTAAGTACAAAAACTTAAATAAATTATTACAAAAATATTGCACATAAAATTTTACAATTAATTTCGAGTAAAATCGAAAGAAAGTATTGTGTGTAACTAGTGTATCATGGACAATGTAAAAAATTTATATATTTTAGTTGTAAGATAAATTACATAATGATAAGATAAATCAAATTGTTACAAAATTTGAGTAAAAATTTCATATAATAGTGATATCACGTCATTATTATATATGATATCACCAACCAATAATAAAGCAACATATGAATGATGAACTCTACATACAAATATAACTAATATTTTAGTAATTTTTACATATATATAGTGAGGTTAATTATATTTGCATATCAATAATAATAGATATTACTTTTATATTGAGATTTTTACACAAAATTTTCATACATAAAAATATAATTTGTTGTAGTCACTTCATTTTTAATAAAACAAAAATTTTCATACATAAAAATATAATTTGTTGTAGTCACTTCATTTTTAATAAAACAATTACTATTGTTTTCATAAATTTAAAAATGTCTTTGACATTTTATTCTAAATATTATTTTTGTTTAAAATTTTATTTATATACATATATAAAAAAAAAAAAATCCAGGGGGCACATGACCCCCCGATCACCATGTGGCTTCACCACTACATACATGACATGACCTGATAATACGAATATTAAACAGATTGGGTTAGTATCAAATCTGTATAACACGAGATTGACACAGATAACTTATATAATGAAGACTTAGTACACATTTTAATATTATTTCCACTAAAGAGTATCATGATATTTTTTGATCTCTTACATAATTACTTCAAATTTATTAAAAAGTATGTAAAATACAATTTTAAGTTTAATATAGATTTTGGTTTTGCTTTTAATTGAACTTAATGTTTTTTTTTTTGTCTATTATGTGAGTTAATCTAGTAAAAAATATAATAATAAAATATAATTTTTATAAATTAAGAAAATCAAATTAAGTTGAAATCAAATATTTTTATAAATAATTTCATTTAATAGAGATTAATTTCATTAAATTTAATTTGTGAAGAAATTTTCAATTTTTTTTTTCATACATTTGATATTTTAATTTAATAGTGAATTTTTTTGACATAACACGTTAATACGACACTATACACGAAGTAATAAATGGATTGTGTTAGTGTTAAGATAATTTTGACATGAATCCAAGATAACATGACATGAACAACAATGATTGAGACCCCTACAACCTCTTTTAGATTTCAACTATTGATGGTGTAAATTTTATATAGATATCAATAGTTGAGATTTAAAGGGGGTTGTGGGATCCCAAAAAGGAGAGTCCAGATCTTCTCCAGCCTTTCCGCCGGGTGATGGTCCAGATTGGGCCACGTCACCTCACTCAAAATATATGGCTCAGATCACCTTAAAAAAAAAAATAAAAATAAACCAGATTTCAGTTCTCTCTCTCATGGCTGTTTCTTGGATTATCCATGCCATAGCCATAGCCATAGCCATAGCCATAGCCATAGCCATAGCCATAGCCATAGCCATAGCCATAGCCATAGCCATAGCCATAGCCATAGCCATAGCCATAGCCATAGCCATAGCCATAGCCATAGCCATAGCCATAGCCATAGCCATAGCCATAGCCATAGCCATAGCCATAGCCATAGCCATAGCCATAGCCATAGCCATAGCCATAGCTCTTGTTCTTCTTCTTCAACAACAATGTATTGTCCTTGCTGTTGTTTCAAGCAATTAACAAATGGGTCTTGGAAATTACATATTATTTCATTTTCTGTTTTTTTTTTTTTTACTTTGTTTTCAATTTCAGGTTCATATTGTGTATATGGGAGAGAGACGACATGATGAGACTGAACTCGTTACAGATTCACACCATGAGATTCTTTCATATATTCTTTGATCTTTGGCCTCTCTTTGGTGGAAGGGTTTTGGTGGGTTGGGTGGAGTGGTTGCCATTGATGGATTTGGAGATTTGCAGAGAAGGAAATTATGGGTTGAGTTTTTTTAAGAGTTTGAAACAGAGAGAGAAAGAAGAAGAAATAGAAAGGGTGGGAAAGAAGAAGCTCACAACTGCTGGTGAGAGAAAGGGAAGAAAAATAGAAAATAAGAATAGAACTAAAATAGTGTATATATATATATGTATGTATGCATGCATGCATCAAATGTAAAATTAAGAAGGGAGAGATGGGGAAAGGAAGAAGATCAAAAGCAGAGCCTCCATGGAAGATTAGTTAAGAGGGGAGAGAGGGGGAGAGAGGGAGGAAAGAGAGAGACGGCTTTCACGTTTTGCCTCAGTCTTTTTTTTTTTTTTTTAAATGTTGATCTGAGCTGTATATTTTGAGTGGGGTGACGTGGCCCAATCTGAGCCATCACTCGGAGGAAAGACAGGAGAGAACTGCTGGAGGGGATCTGGACTCCAAAAAGGATCCCAAGCGTTTTTGATGGTATCAGGATCCTCTAGGGTAATAACCCTGAAGTGATCTCCTAAAGTGAGAGATCCAACGGCTGAATCGTTTTGGTTAGTACGTTCAAAAAAAAAAAAAAAAAAAAAATTCAGCTCTGGTTCCAAATGACGAACAGGTTTCTGCAAATATAAAGCAATAGAGAGACTCTCTCTCTCTTCTCCTCAGCGGCCATGAAAGTAAGTTAAATAATTTCAAAAACATTTTTACAGATTATACTCACATTAAACAGTTCATTGCTGTTATTGGCAAAGCCATTCTCCATAACTCTTTCAGCTCTTCTACAACCTATATTCATAGAAAAGAAACAGAACACTTTAGAAATGGGTTATTAATCAAACTCTGTTTTTATGCTTGATTCACTGAAAAAGTAATAATAAAATTTATTTTAAATAGAATAAGGGTAAAATGAATATTGTTATACCTGGTTGGTTGTGGGGAGTTTGGGGAAGAAAAATTTGGGTCTTTGTCTTCCAAGTTGGAGATTGATTGAGAAATGAGTTTGAAGAAGATTGATTTTAATCAATAAGAAAACTGTTGACCCAACTTGCTATGTTTTGGTTTTGAGTCCTCATATTTTTTATGGGTAGTTCATGAACTTGGGAATAAAGAATAAGAACATGAACTTGGGAATAAAGATTAAGAATCAAAAGATTTTGGGTTGAATAGGAAGTAAAGGCTAAAAATGGAGAAGCATTGAATACAAGAAACAGAGGTTGTGTTTTTGAAATCAAACATTTTTTTTTTTTTTTTTTTTCAACTTACTAACCAAAACGACGTCGTTTTGGTTAGTTTTGTTTTCAACCGTTAGATTTCACACTCTAGGAGATCACTTCAGGATTCTTACCCTAGAGGATCCTGATACTTTTTGATGACCTGAACATGATCCTACCAAATTGACTATATGCTATTTATATATTAATATTTAAATATAAATTAAATATATCTTGGTTCAACAACCGTCGCTTTGGCCGAGTGGTTAAGGCGTGTGCCTGCTAAGTACATGGGGTTTCCCCGCGAGAGTTCGAATCTCTCAGGCGACGAAATGATGTTAAATAATAATTTTATTATTATTTATTTATTTTTTTTCAGTATTCACAGTTTTTTCTTGGAAGGGAAAAGTGAAAAAATAGTCAATGATATTTGAACCGGGGAATATTTGAAAGTATGTGAGTTTTGCAGCTTACTAAGCCTCCGTTTAGGTAGTGGGTTAGCTTTTTGACTTTTTAGTTTTTTTGGTTATTTTAGCTTGGGCTAAAAAGTTTGGTTTGGGAAAGATTTTTTGACTTTTTGACTTTTTTGACTTTTTTTGTGACAGAAGAGTGTAATGATTATGGGTTAGATGCCATGTTTTGTTTGTTGTGGCTAAAATAGCCTATTTTGTCTTTTGTGACTATTTTAGCCCTAACCTTGCTTGCCAAACGGACCCTAAAGAGATCAGGTGGTTAGGGGTTTTAGAAAAGCTCCATGTTTATGAGTTTTTTTTTTTCTAAAATCAAAACTAAGAAAAAATAGAAAAATCATTTTAATCGTCAATGTCCAATTTAAGAACTAATAATGTTGTAATGATTATATTTAAGTATCAATTTAAAAAATTTTTTTTTTTTGTTACACTGTGCATAGTTTAATGAACCCAGTTTTTCATAACTTATAATAATGTATTTATAACATATTAAAGGATATCTAAATTTGGTGAACGTATCATTACTATTTAAAAATAATCTCTATTAAAAAAGTTATAAATGAAAATTTGTGTGGACCAATTATTTGCGTCAATTATTCTTAAATTAAGTCTGATTGTCAATCGATTATCTCAGAGTTAGGATCTGCAAATGCGTTCACGGAGGATTTTTTTTTTTGGTTCCAAAAAAAAAAGAAAAGAAAAAGGTTGAACATTAGTCGAGTGAAATTCTTTGTCCTGCTTCCCACCAACCTAGTAAGATTTATGAGCCATGCCCTTTTTATTTATTATGTTCCTCGAGAAACATTTCTTATGTGAATAAATTAAAAATTAATTATTTAGGATTTGAGAAGAGAGAAGAAAAAAATTATGGGAATATATTTTCTGAGTACCAACACGTGGCCAAGGTGACGCCGACGTGTCAGCCGAGGTGCCACGTGTACCGGTTGTTATGCAGAGGTCATCTCGGATAGGCCGAGGTTACCTCTGAAGATATCGGAATCTGAGATAAGCGGATGAGGGGCAAGAGTCCTAGAATAAGAGAAGACTTCAGTTTGTGTTAAGATAAAACTCTTAGAGAGTTTATCCTAATCTTACTAGGAGTCCAAGATTAGCAGTAATCTTGAGTCCATAGAAGTTAAGCTTCTATTGGGACTAGATTTATGTTGGCTATAAAAGAGAGGCACCCCCATGGGTCTAAGGTATGCTTTTGGTACTTAAGCTTGTGAGTTTAGCACTTAATATATCTTTGAGAGATATACTGACTTGATCGTCGGAGTGCCCCCGGGTGGACGAACCACCGCCGAAATCTTCTCTTTCTGTTGTAGGTCAGCTAGGTGCCATCTATTCTGCCGGTACTTTCCAGCTGGTTACTAAGCGGGCAGTGTGGTCAGAAAATCACTCACACAATTTGGCGCCGTCTGTGGGAAAGAAAGGAGAATAGATGGCCATCATTGTACAAGATCAATGTATCGGAAACGACGAGTTTAGCAAAGATGGAGAATGTGTCGACATAAAATGAATTTTGAACTGAAATTTTTACAGTAGATTAATTACACATTGAATTGCATATCAGTATTTTCTCATAATTTTTGGCAGTCAAATCGATATTAACTGGTGCGTTCCTATCCGTCCAGAAAACTGGTGTAAAATAGTAACTTCGAAAGTGTCGTTCTTGTTGGGTATAAATTCGAAAATTATCAAATCAAGGCCATTAAAACCAGTTACAAGTCTAGTTTCTTACATTTTTGTCCTTGCATTGATTGGCCGTGTATACTAAGAGAACCATTAATTTCTTTAAAGTGCTGTAGAAAACAACCTGCTTGGATATAATTAATTGTAAATAATTATTTTGATAAGAAAATCAAGTGAAACCATTTGGGTTTGAAACTTAGGATACATTAGTTGGTATCTAGAGAGTTTTGACATTTTTTGAACAGCGTGGAATGGATTTTGTAATTTTTAAACTTAGCGTAGATTAGGAAAACTTGTTTAAAATTCTGTTTTATCTTAAAGTTACTTTCAATTAAGTTTCGATTTCAACCCATGTTGTGGGTGATTTTAGACCTTGAAGAACACGAGCTTAGGTAATATTTAAGAGTAGCAGTGAGTTGGGTTGAGCCATGTTAATGCGCTTTAGTTTGGGATTACTTAGTTTCTTATTATTTAGTATTTTTAAATTAGTAGTGACGTGTAGTTCTCATATGTGGTTCAGGGCACTAGTTGGACTTTATACTTTATTCGATGATAACATTATTCCATTTTTCAGGTGAGTAGTTGCATGCCACATACTTTTAAAAATGTTCCACTTCACTGAACAATTGTAAAATTAAATTGTTATTTCAGGACTAAACTGTTTTGATAAATTATTATATTATCAATAGAATTAAATTATTTCTGAAACATGTGTAAAATTGGCATACTGTAGGCTATTTGTTATGGTCTCATGTTTATAATGGTGAACTACCATGTTTTGCGAAACTGAATTGTATTGATTATCGGGACCATTTGTATATTTTAGTCAAGGGAAATTATTCCACTGTGTGTGGTGACTCTGGTCACTAGGGAACAGATTCGGGTTGGGCCGTGATGACTCTAGTGCTCAACGATTGTAAGGAAAAGACCTAGGCTAGGCTAGGTGACCTTCAATCGGGTCGTCTTAGAGAAAAGGCCCGGGTTGCCACCCTGAGGATGACTCTTAGTTCGATATTGGATCCAACGGGGCTTATAGCCTTTAAAACTGTGTGGCATGTTACTTGTTATTTCTTGGTACCCACAAAATTATTGGTGCTCATGTTGTAATCTGTTTTAAGTGGAAAATGTCATTTATCTTCTTCTTGAGAGGCATGGGTATTTTAACTGTTGAACTGTGGAACCTTCTTTTTGAAACAGATTATCTTTATCCAAACTGTGTGCCAATCTAGTTCTGTGATATATATCTTATTTTGGAATTGAACCCTGTGATATATATCTTATGTGTGCCTTGGGCTAAGTCCCTATGGGCCACGGCCGGTCATACCTGGGTTTAAGGTGTGACAATTGTGGTATCAGAGCTATTGTTTTATCGACTTACATGTCTTGCATTTCATCATTTAAACGAGGTCCGAGTCCTTATAGTCCTTAGTATTGTATGGTTAAGTTTTTTTTGTTTAAGCTTGTGTTGAATCTTTCTTGATTTTAGTTTGAAGGTTAAGAGTTGGCACCTAGATATGTATACGAATTGTCTATTCCTTGTGAGCCTTTGATGTTTGTATTACCGTGTCTAATCCATTAGGAGAAACAGTAATATTGGGCGATGTCTGTAGATCTTGTGAGGTAAACTTTGATGGTAGGATTTTTCTAGTGGATTTGATTTCCTTAGAGATGAAGAATTTTGATATGATTTTGGAGATGGATTGGTTGACGAAGCATCATGCTTGTGTTGATTGTTTTAAAAAGATGGTAGTTTTTGCTATGCTGGGGCAACATGAGTTTTTCTTTTAGGGAGATGGGAAAAGGTCTTCTATTTGTTTTATTTCTTCCCTTCAGGCTAACCGAATGTTGAGAAAAGGGTGTCATGGTTATTTAGCTTGTGTGGTGAGTACCGAACAACCAGAGCAGAAGTTAGAGGAGTTACCTGTAGTGAGGGAATTTGTTGATGTTTTTCCAGAGGATCTACCTGGACTTCCTCTAGATCGTGAGGTAGAATTTTCCATTAACTTCGTCCCTAACACAACACTTATTTCTAAAGCGCCCTATAGAATGGCACCGTTGGAGTTGAGGGAGTTACAAACTCAGTTATAGGAATTGTTAGTCAAAGGTTTTATTAGGCCTAGTGTTTCACCTTGGGGAGCACCTTTGTTGTTTGTGAAGAAGAAGGATAGGTCTATGAAGTTGTGTATTAACTATAGGGAATTAAACAAAGTCACAATAAAGAATAGGTGTCCTTTTCCATGTATTGATGACCTATTTGACCAATTGTAGGGAGCTTAGGTATTCTCTAAGATGGACTTGAGGTCAGACTATCACCAGTTGAAGGTAAGGAATGAGGATGTTCCTAAGACCACTTTTAGAACCCGTTATGGGGCATTATGAGTTCTTGGTAATGCCTTTTGGTCTCACAAATGCA